ACCCACAATTTGCCCCCTATAAATATTCTATTATCCTTCTCCTTTCGTTTCAGGTTCAATCCTTCATCTTCAAACAAAGCTGGTTAGTTAATTGCAGATCACCGGAGATCAATCACATGGCGGCAGTCAATGGCGGAAGTGAAAGTCAACCGGCGAAACACCAAGAAGTTGGCCACAAGAGTCTCCTTCAAAGTGATGCTCTTTACCAGTATATTCTTGAAACCAGTGTGTACCCAAGAGAGCCTGCACCCATGAAAGAGCTACGTGAGGTCACTGCTAAACATCCATGGTAAGTTAATTACCTGATATCTGTATCTATATCTATATCTGTATCTATGTATACGTATATGTATATGTATACGTATACGTATATGCATACGTATATGTGTACATATATATATATATATACGTATATGTGTATGTATATGTGTATGTATATGTATATATATGTATATGTATATGTATGAACCTAAGATAAGTAAACTAAGGTTTGAACTTTTTGTGTATGATATGAAATAGGAACCTGATGACGACGTCTGCTGACGAAGGACAGTTCCTGAACCTTCTTCTCAAGCTGATCAATGCGAAGAATACCATGGAGATTGGTGTGTATACTGGTTATTCCCTTTTGTCTACGGCTCTAGCACTTCCCGATGACGGAAAGGTATAATTGAGATTGATATTTTTTACGATATAAAGAAGGTTGATTTTAAATGAACCTTCTATCTGCTATTTAAATCCCTGATAAATAAAGAGATTCTGGAAACAATCGGGAGAGACGTTAAATGGTATGTTTATGTGTTTTCAGATACTGGCTTTGGATATCAACCGTGAAAATTATGAAATCGGCCTTCCTATTATTGAGAAAGCTGGTGTTGCTCACAAGATTGATTTTAGAGAAGGTCCTGCTCTTCCTGTTCTCGACCTAATGATCGAAGATGTAAGTTATACAAATTTTTTTTATTTAAATATATTTACATAACGATGTTTGATATTCGTTAAATACCCAAAATGCCCTTCGATAATAATATAAAATTAAACTTGTTTATGAATCATTATTTTATTTATATTTATGAATTGTTGGTTTTTATATTAACAGAAAAAATTCCATGGAAGTTTTGATTTCATTTTCGTGGACGCTGATAAAGACAACTATCTTAACTACCACAAGAGGTTGATTGATCTTGTTAAGATCGGTGGAGTGATCGGATACGATAACACCCTATGGAACGGATCGTTGGTTGCACCGCCAGATGCACCTCTTAGGAAATATGTTAGGTACTACAGAGACTTCGTGCTGGAACTTAACAAGGAATTGGCTGTGGATCCGAGAGTCGAGATCTGTCAGCTTCCCGTTGGCGATGGAATTACTTTATGCCGTCGTATTAGCTGAAGTTACGAGCCGATCGGAAGAGGTGGTCTCTAGGTGTCACCCGTAGTTGGTGTTTCTCCTCGAAGTTTATGTTCAAAATTGTTAAATTATTTGCGACCTTAACTCTTTCGTTCAGTAACTGTTTTCGGTGTTCATGTTGTTTTCACTAAAAACGTATGTTATTATATATAATGCAAAATCATGATCGTTTTATATATAACTGTTTTACATATAAATTAATACCATAAAAAGAAGTCATTCAGACATAAACAAAAAATTCAATAAAATAAAAAATATATAATTATGAAGTAGTCGTTGATGTGAATTTTTCGTCTAATTTTGGTCAAAAGTCAAAACCGAGTTAAACCAAACAAACGTGGGGTCAAGTTCACTGAGCCGACTCGGGAAAGATGACTCAGTGACCCACCTTGTTTTTGTTGGTGAAGTTTATGTTATTTACAATATGGTCCCTGGAGTTGTACAAAGAGGTTTGATTATTTTAATTTCTGCAAAGAAGTTCTAACACTACAATAAAATCGGGTTTAGAGGACACTCCCATATTCTAAACGTTATAATAGACCTCTTTATAGGACTTAGTTTATAGGACCCAAAAAAAATAAAGTGTCATATCTAAAGGTGTTGTATTAAGTTTATATGACGTTTTTTGATGTCGTAATACGTTTTTAGAACATTTTTAATATAAAGCGTCCCATTATCAACCTTATAGGACACTATTTCAAAAATTGTCCTATAAAAACAAGTGTCCTATAAAAAATTGAGTTTCTAAGACAATTTCTCAAAAGTGTCCTATAAAGTTGCTAATGCGACATTTTGTATTAAAAATATCCTCAAAACCTTGTTAAGACGTCCAAAAACGTCATATGAACTTATTACAACGCCTTTCATTAGGACGCTTTATATTTTGGTCCTATAAATTAAGTCCTATAAAGCGGTCTATTAGGACACTTAGAGATTGAGGGTGTCCTATAAAACCAATTTTGTTGTAGTGTAAACTTACATTTTAGTCGAGGCTATTTGGTTGGTTTTTCATTAAATTACGTATCGAGAAAATTGTCTATGTGGATTAATTAGTCTGTATAGGTTGAGAATTAGTATGGTCTTTTTCATAAATGAAATGAGTGTGTTTTTTAATTCGGGGTGACAAGTTTAGGAAAAACTTGACTTTTTATATAAAGCTCCCACATAGAAGTTTACTTGAATTTCACTTTTTATATCATTATGTCATTATCAAACAACCATGTACAGTTGACCAAATAAGCTGTTGATCCTGTTACACTGCTGACAAACAGACATTGTTTAAAAAAAGAACTCTCAAATCTTAGTTTTTTTCTGCATAAGCCGAAAGTATAAAATGCGTGTGTTGAAAATTATTCGATCTGATTAAAAACGACTAACCAAACTTGGATATCCAATATTGAATTGGATTAGGAGAATATATAGATAATTGGTTGAAACGGTGGATTAATTCATTGTATAATTAGATCAGAATATGAATAACAACCTGATCAAATGGACAACCAGTAGTAAATATCATCCATTTAATAAAATCAATATGATTCAATCATCCATTTGATTGTCGAAGGTGTCGTTTGTTATCTAAAAGATGCTGAAGTCTGAAGTCTTATTTCATTTATGATTGATAAGAGGTGGTATTGAAGTCTGAAATTTGAATCGATAAAATTGTTTGTTTTTGTAAACTAATAGACGTCTAAATTTGTTCAAATTGTCTATTTTATTCATTAGAAGATTATAATATTGAATTTATAGATAAATTTATACAATTTCACATATTTATTCATCATCATTATGAAATTTATATCTAAATTATATAATTAGCATTCATTTAAATAAAAATATGTCATTTAACGGTATTTAAAAAATTTAAATCATATTAAAATACATCAATTGAGAGATGTGAGGATCAATTTGGTAAGGATCTATTGAGAGAAATGATCGCTTAAGATTAATCAATTGAGAAACGCCGTTTTCTGAAGGTTTGGAAAACAATAAGAGGCAAATAAAATGTTGTTTACCTCTTACCAGATAAGAGGACAATAAGACATAAACGCCTCTGAAAAATTGAAAAAAAAACAAACAAACAACCTGAATGGTCCTACCTCTTAACGAATCAAATAGTCAATATGTGATGCCAATATTTGTTTTATTAGTACGTTATCTAATCACATGTGGCTTCAATGCAAAGTCAAATGTGATTTGGACTTCTTGTGTTCTTTTATTTTGTCCTTTCTACTTAACGACTCTGATATAAGAGACTGATAAAAAGTTTTTTTTTAAACAAACAACGTCTAAATACGTAAAATCAATTGAATTCAATAAATGGGTTGGATCTATTCCGCTAAAATCCATTAAAAATTCAATCGATAAACGCTTGTAACCAGTGTTCTAGAAGGCATGACATCACAAGACGTGCCTCCTCGATTACAATTAGGTCTGTAGTGTTTTTGTAAGGTGTTCATGCCATGGTGCAGTACTTTTTTTACAAGGTGTGACTTTTTCCCAGTAGAATATTTTTTTTTAGCTTTTGTGTTTTTACACTTTTATAGATTTATTTAATCACACCACTCATAATTTCACGAATTCATACACATCATGGACTTACAATTAAAGGAACCTATAAAATTACTATTCTAAGTTCTATTTTAAATATTTAATCAGATAAATATTTTTATAATAATAATAATCTATTTGGTTTTTAATTCTTCTAATATTAATGCAAACTTTTTAATATCATTATATATAACATACAAATTTGTCGTCTTATGTTACGTCTGAAAAAACGTCATGTCTGTATTACAACATGTAAGATTTATGACTTGACCTTGCCATCATACTACGTTTTATGTAATTTATCTGATATTTTGCATGTAACTTTTAAAATTTAAAAATTTGGACATAAATATTATTTAAAAAGCCATTAATAAAAGCTCTCTATTATAATTATAGATGAAGTGTGTTTAATGCATGCAAACTTTAAATGTAGGGTTCTCGATTTTCGAAATGAATAAATAAATGCATCAATAAGGTTCCTTTACGTGGGAAACCAAAAATATATCCACAAAACATGTTGTCGTTTTGGGATTAGTCGACTCACATAGCGGGTTAGATATCCAGGTTAATAAAAAAAAAACTAAAAAGATAACACTACAAAAATGAGGAGTATTAGTCCGTTGCTAAATCCGTCGTTGATATGTAGCTAATGGTTAATAAAATGGATTAAGACTCAATAAAACTGAATGAAAACCAATAAAATGGATTAAAGCTCAATAAAACAGAATAAAGCTCAATGAAGCCCTCTAAAGTCTAATGTAATCCGTTAAAACCGAATAAAAACCAATAAATCATTTAAAGCCAATGAAATCGATTAAAGCCTTGTAGAAAAGAATAAAGCCTAATAAAACTCGTTAATGTCCAATTGAATCATTAAGGGTGTGTTTAGTATTCAGACAGGACATGACAGGAAAGAATAGAACAACTGTTCAACGTTTGGTAAGATAAAACTGGACAGAACAGAACAAGTAAAATGACCAATTCACCCCTGATGACTTGTTTATTTTAATTAATTTATGTAATTTTAATTAATTTATGTAATTTTGTTAAATTATAATAGAATAATTATTTTTTATAACAAAATATATCATTTAAAGTTTTCGTAAAAACAATTAAAATGACACCAAATAAAAAGTTTATGTGGTTTTCTATTTTTATTTTTATCTCTTTTTTACATTATTTATTATTATTATTATTATTATATAATAAATTACATAAATTAATAAAAATATAGGAACCCTATAAAAATAATATTTTGAGGACAGTAAAATGAAAATATAATAAATAAAATTTAAAGAATGAATAAAATGTAAAAAAGAGACCTATTTGATGTTTTAGAAGAGAATTAAGTTTTATTTTGATATTATATTGGTAAAATATAAGTCTGTTCCACCTTGTTCCATGGGGTAGGGGTGGAACGGGTCTGTTCCACTTTATTCCACTCTGTTTCTGTCGGTTCCACATAAAATTCATGCCAAACATGGGATAAGGATCCCTGTCCTGTTCTGTCATGTCCTTGTCTAGTGTACCAAACGCACTCTAAAGTCCACCATGACCCATTAAAACCGAATAAAGCTCAATAGATGTATTACAGTTCACTAAGACTTGTTAAAGCCCAATATAATTTGATGCGTATACCTGTTTTTCAGTTGGCCTCTTGTATATCTAGGTCAATGTGTCTTATAGGGCTTAGTATTTTAGACTATCTGTGAACGCTAGAATGATCAAATGAAATAAAACTATAGGTTCTTGATAGGAGGGCCTCATTAAAGTAAGAGAGATTGTGTAATAAATTTTCGTAAACCAAGAACCATCAAGCACCCATTAAAGCCTGAACAACACACATATATACATAATCCAATACATGTATCTTCAACAATATATACATAGATCCAATCGTGGTTAGCAAACAACACACATATATACACATCGTGTATACATATGTATATAACACGAACAGACAGGTATATATACATATGACGCATACACATGTGTACATATAACACACACATTGTCTACACATTCCCATACACACACACACACACATATATCTAATTATCGCAGTTAGCAACCAACACACATATATACATATCAAACACATGCATGTATACATATGACACCTACACATATACATGTGTACATATAACACATAGAAAAAGAGAAAATATGAAAAACCAAAGAATCTCTCACAGATCCATCGCTGATCAGTGACGGATTAGCGACGGACATGTGGTATCCCTTGTTGATTCGTCGCTGATCAGCGAGAGATCTGCTAGAGATATGCCAAAAACCATATCCTTCGCTGATTAGTGACAGTTTAGCAAGAGAACTGATTTTTGGCCCATCCCTTGCAGATCACTCGCTGATAAGCGACAAATCAACGATGGACAGACCAAAAGCCAGTTCTCTCGCAGATCCTTTTGGCCCATCGCTCACAGATCCGTTGTTGATCAACGAGGGCTCTGCAAGAGAACTGGTTTTTGGTTCATCCCTCTCAAATGCCTCGTTGATCAGTGACGGATAAGCGACAGACAGACCAAAAACCAGTTTCCTTGCAGATCCCTCGCTGATCAGCGAAGAATTAGTGAGGGAACTGGTTTTGGCTTGTCCGTCGCAAGTAGCGAGG